CTGTCACATTGAGTTGCTATGAGTTGAAATCGAGTTGACGGCACACAACGACAAATTAGAATGTGATAAATGCTAAGGAGAAAAATAAAGCAGGGAAGGGAGACAGCAAATGTGTTGAGGAAGAAGTTTACAGTTTTAGACAGAAAGAAGAGGAAAGGCCTCACGGGGTTACATGTGAGGGCAGACTTTAAGGAGATGAAAGAAAAAGCCACATAGATATCTGAGAGAAGACCTTTCAGGAAGAGAAATCAGGCAAGGGCAAAGGCTTCAAGATGAGTGTGTGTCTGGCATGTTTAAGAAACAGCCAGAACACCCATGTGGCTGGAGTGGAGTGAGCAAGGGGGAGAGTAGCAGGCGTTGAGGTCGGACAGGTGAGGTCAGACAAGTGATGGCATGGTAGGAGGTGCAGTTCACACACACCTGTGCTGCCCAATGCAGTGGCCACAAGCTACACCTGGCTATTTACACTGAAATAAGTTAAAATGAAATACAATTTATTCCTCAGTCACTCCAGTCACATTTCAAGTGCTTAATAGCCATTTGTGGCCAGTGGCTACCATCCTGGTCAGCTCAAAGAACATTGCCGTCATCACAAAAGTTCTATTGGACAGTGCTAACAGAGCCTTTTAGATCATTTTGCTCTAAATGAAATAAAGACAACAAAACAATCAGAAAGAGAACATAAAAATAGTATGTTCCAAATGATTAAAAGAGGGAATCAAAATCCAAGAAAATACCAAACAGTGTTAAAAGGGTATATTTGAAAAAGAACGAACACATCTTCTAGAAGTTCAAAAAAAAAAAAAAAAAAAAAGAGGAAAGAAATTGAAATTAAAACCTCAATGGCTAAATTAAACGGCAGATTTGCTAGCAGAAGAGGCATTAGTGAACTGGAGCATAATATATAATCTTGTACAGTTCTTCGTGTGGGCCAGACACGGCTTTAAAAGCTCCATTTGATCTTCACAACAGCCATAGTTAAGTGGAAATACTGTTTTCCCCATGTAATAAGCAAGGAAACAAAGGCACCCAGAGGTTAAGTCTTCTCATCCGGACAATCTGGAGTCTGTGTACTCAACAACCACTATGCCAGACTGTATTTCAGGAATTTACCCAGAATGCAGCACAGAAAGATAAAGAGATAGAAAATAAGAGGGGTTAAGAGACATGAGAGACAGAACAGGAAACAGCAACGAACATCCAATAGGAATTCCAGAAGGAGAGAATAAAGACAACAGCAAAGAGGCAAGTAGTATTGGAAAAAATGATGGCTAAAAAATTTTCGTAGTTGATGTCATGGGTTGAATTATGTCCCTCCAAAAATGTGTGCATCAATTTGGCTGGGCCATGATTCCCAGTATTGTGTGGTTGTCTTCCATTTTATGATTGTAATTTTATGTTAAAGAGGATTGTAACCCTTTACTAAGGTCACATCCCTAATCCAATGTAAAAGGAGTTTCCCTGGGGTGTGGCCTACACCAGCTTTTATCTTACAAGAGATAAAAGGAAAGGGAAGCAAGCAGAGAGTTGGGGACCTCATACCACCAAGAAAGCAGTGCCGGGAGCAGAGCATGTCCTTTGGACCCAGGGTTCCTGCGTAGAGAAGCTCCTAGTCCAGGGGATGATTGATGAAAAGGACCTTCCTCCAAAGCCAACAGAGAGAGAAAGCCTTCCTCTGGAGCCAGTGCCCTAAATTTGAAATTCTAGCCTATTAGACTGTGAGAAAATAAATTTCTCTTTGTTAAATACCACTGGTGGTATTTCTGTTATAGTCGCACTAGATAGCTAAGACAGTTGATAGATGAATCCTAAGATTCTAGAAGAACAAATCCCGAGCAGAATGAATACAAAGCTGAACACATACCAGTAAAACTGCAGACTATCAAAAATACAGTCAAAATTTTAAAGCCTCTGGGGGAATTTATTATTGAAACAGGGAGAGGCTAGGAAAGAGATGATCCACAGTGGGCTATGCACATGGCAGTGTGGGTGTGTGAGGACATGATGGGTGACAGGATGGACTGTTTGGATTAGGGACTATGAACAAGTTAGGGTGAGTGATTGTATTCAACTCTAGCTTCACATTAGCAGGACTCTACTGCTCCCCAGATCCTGGAGAGAGCCTAGGCAGGCCCCCTTTCAATTCAAGTATATGCAAGGTGAACATTGCTCTCAGAAACTTAATAAATATTTGCTGGCATGAATGAATGCAAGAGAAGAACGTTTTGAGAATTGTGAGGCCAGTCTGATGGCCACACTTGGACTGCTGTTTGATCAGAGTGGACTGATGGATTTACGAAAGGTCTTGTAATGTCGACCTTTTGATTAGTAGCCATAGCTCTTAACCACTGCACCACCGGGGCTCCATGATATAAATGTAATTTCATTTTCTGCTAAGAATCCAAAGCAGTGTAAAACAATTTTTTCACATCCTTTCTAGATATTCTCTAGGCTGTTTATAAATATTAACCCAAAAAACCAAAACCAAACCCATTGCCATTGAGTCTATCCCGACTCATAGCACCCCTATAGGACAGAATTGAACTGCTGGATAGGGTTTCCAAGGCTATAAATCTTTACTAAAACAGACTGCTGCATCTTTCTCCTGCAGAGCGGCTGGTGGGTTCAAACCACCGACCTTTTGGTTAGCAGCCAAGTGCTTAACTACTGTGCAACCAGGGCTCCTGTTAGTATTATCGCAAGTTTAAATAATAATAAAACAACCCAGAGCAAAGTTTCAAGGGCCCCTCTGGTCAGTGTAATCTTGCTTGTCAGAGCAAGATGTGTTTTAGGCACAATTGTAAAAAGTGACAGAATGCAATCTTTGCCTCACAATAGGGTGTGATAACATAGAAGGAACCAGACAATTAGAATGATCTCATTCTTGCCTTATCATATGTGCTAATGTCGCAAAACCTCAAAAAGGAAATACTATTTTTTCGGCTCTTATCCTCTAGTTTGGACTTGGCTGTGTAGGTCCTATCAGACCTTTCCACTCACTCACCCCGTCTACACCGTGAACTGCCCTGAGGAGTTGCTATTCCAAAATGAAGTCTTGTTCTCCTCCTTTTATCATTAGATCATGAGTATGGGGAAGAAATGTGATGGATGAAGACAACTTCATTGTAGGGAAGTGCTGTAGATCCACATATATATTCTTATGGACTGATATTTTAATGTCAAAATGCTGTACACAGCCCACTGAGGGCCTGGATTAAAAGCAAGGCCTGTCACGGAACAAATACCTTAGTAAATGTTGTCTCAATTAATTCTTATCAGTAAGGCTTGGAGGAAGGCACACAAGAATCCTGATGCTCAGGGTTATATAACTAGCCCAAGATCTCAGCTGTTTTGTGGCAGACCAGAGTCTGGAACCAAGACATACCTGATGGCAAGTCCATGCTCTTTCCACAGTATCACCTGCCATTTTATCAACACTCCTGCTTTCAACCACCCAGCAAGCAGGACATCAATAGTAAGAGCCCAGGGCATTTTGATTTGGCATATTTTATTGCAATTAGTACACTCATAAAACCATGTAAACTCACAAAGTAAATGGTTTATCCTCCACAATAACCAACAGATGATCGGCCGTGACCTTCCAGCAACCTCACTAGTTTATACATTTATACACTTCACAGAAAGCGATAACCATACAAATAAGATTATAATACATTTTTTAGGAAAAGGACTTTTTGGTCAACATTTTCTATTAAAAAAAAAACCAATAACTTTCCTGTTTGGCAAAAGAGGTTAACTTCCCCACTGTGAATTCACAAAGCAAGCTCAAATAAAAATCATTGAACATGAGGTACAGTTGAGGTCTGGCCTAATCTAGAATTACAGACACAAACTCAAGGGGGAAAGTATTAAAAAAAGAGTTCAGTTCCCAACCACCTCGGTAGAAAAGCACCATTTAGGTTTGGTATTGGTCATTTTTGTAAGAGCACACTTCAAATAACTCTCCCCCACCCCCAGAGTACAATGAAAGTCACTAAAATGTTCTATTTCTGAAGAAAGTCATGAAAAGTGTGGGCATCTGACCTCAGCAACATTTTTAATCTGAGGTACAAAAACATGTGACACAGGAATCCAGACTGTAACTGCTGTGCCACCTTCATTTCATTTTGTGGGGAGAGTAGTTTTGGTTGCTGTAAATCTCAGTATTTGGCTTTGCAGACAGATTTGCCAAAGCAGATTTGCATGTGAAGGCTGCATAGTATCAGCCAGGCCTGAGGCGAGAAAGAAGTAACATGGGATGAAATGGCCGTGTTTTCTACAGCCTAGATCGCTGAAGTCTCTTGCAGGCCACAGGGACCCATCTCTCTGTCCATGCGCTGACTACTTCACATCCGCATCTGAAGTGGAGTCTAAGGAAATGGGCAGCTGCTGAGTTGGTTTTTATTTTTTAATCCACAAACATAATTGCTAAACAACCACCCTGGTGTGCTTTTCATGCTTAAAGTAATTTCATCTCTTCCAGGAGAGGAATGTTAAAAATGCTCTTAGTTTTAGTTATCAAAGGAAAGGAAATGAGCCACAATAACAAGAAGATTAAGTTTAAACAGACCTGCTGCTAACACAGTATCAGATAAAATATATTTTAAAAGTGAACATAACTATTCTATATGTTTTTGCCCTAGCCGCATATTCCCACTTAACCTCTGTGCAGAACTAAAACGTCTGGTAAAGCACACTTAAGTTACTTTAATTCTTGTTAAATACAACTCTGTACAGATTGCACATTTTACACCAAAGCAGCTCAGTATCACAGTCAGAGAAATGAAAATACCATCTGAACATTCTCAGTTTTTCTAGACCAACAAAAACCAACAGACGATTGCCCCAAAGGTCAGAACAAAGTCAGCTGCACAGTTTTGTAAACACTATGAGGTTGTCTCCAGGATTCCACCGCAGGATCCTAATAAATCACACACACCACACACACACCCACACCCACACTCACACACTTGAACAGCAGTCTCCTTTCTTCCAGTGACAACAGTACAACGGCCAGAAGCTCAGTACCACGGCAGGTTTCTTTCACATTGTGTTCACAAAAGAGCCGTCACGGCCGGCCGTCTGGTTGATGGGTTTGGGGCAGTCTCTGGGTGCTGAATAACCATCACTCATTAAGAGACTCATCTGTGGCTTCTGATAGTCAGAATCTCTGCTCTCTGCGGGGAAGAAGCTGTTCGCTTTGGGCTTATCATACGCCCCATCCGCAGGCTTGGGGGTTTGTGGCATTTGATAGTCTCCACTTTTGGTGCCTGCCCCTTCGGAAGGGAAGAAGCTGCCTGAAGAAAGAGAATGTTTGTGCATGGGTGCGGGGCCGGGGACGCGGTAGCCACTCTGCGCAGAGAAGGTGTTGGCTCTCATCAGCTGCCGCTCCACAATGGGCGTGGCGTACTCGGGCTCCTGGTTGGTCAAGGGCAGGGCGTACTCGTGGCGGCCAGCGCGGTGAGGGCAGTCGTAGTGGCTGCCAGCGTCCACGCTCACCCCTGCCTCATTGGCGTCAGTGTCCATTGGCCGGAAGGTGGAGCCCTTCCTCGTGACTGTTCCAGTGCCAATCATGAGAGACTGCTGATAATCTGAAAGCAAACGAGTAAATGCCACATTATTTGTGCACCACACGGATACATGGACAAGCCAGTTGTTTGCAGAGGGCCATACCCTGTTTAAGGTAGTGGTGAACCAAGGCTACACCGAGTGCCTCAAGTGTCGCCAGTTCCTTGGTGTATCCAAAACTGGGACACTGAGAAATCGACACCAGGGGCTAAGAAAGACACGTGTAAAAGTCACAGACCGCTCACTGAGGGATTTATACAACCATAGTCACTGCTTAGGACTCCCTGGTTGGTGCAAACAGCTACCACGCTTGGCAGCTAAGAGAAAGGTTGGGGTTCCGAGTCCACCCAGAGGTGCCTTGGAAGAAAGGCATAATCATTATAATTATTACTAGGCCTGGAGACTTTAAAAAAATCAGCTATTGGAAACCGCATGGAGCACAGATCTACTCTGACACACTTGGGGTCGCCATGAGTCATAATCACCTAGATGGCAACTGGTGGTGGTGGTGGGGGGGCATCTGCTTTAGGAAGGGCCAAAGGGTTAAAGGAACCTGGAGAAAGGAGAGATCAGGTTTAACCTAGGGGCACGGGGAAAAATACTTCACAGAAGTGGCACTTAAGCTGGCTCTTGAAATGTCAAATTTTGGAAGTGGAGGTACTAGTGTGAGTAAAAGGAGGAAAGAACCACCATGAAAATAGTGTGATGTGGCCAGAGTATGAGGGACATAGTTTGTTTAACGGCATACAAAGATGAAAGCAATAGGTTGGAGCCTAATGATGATAAAACTGTAAGTTTTATTGAGCCTTTTACTCTGTGCCAGGCACTAAGATATTAATTATTAATTAATCTTCAAAAAAAATCTCATGACATAGGGAATATTACTCTATTTTACAAATGGGGTGTAATGGTTAAGATTATGAGTCAACTTGGCTGGGCCATGATTCTCAGTATTTTAATGTGATCACTCCCATGATTGAATATACTGTGAGTAGCCAGTCAGATGAAAGGGAGTCTCCTTGGGGGTGTGGCCTGCATCTGAATATAAGACGACGCTCTGGCTTTTTGCTCTCTCTGGATCCTGCGGCCGCCTCCTGTCGTCTCATCTTCGGTTCCTGGGACTTGAGCTGTCAGCTTATCTGCTGAACTTGGGATTCATTGATCTTCACAGCCTGTGAGCGGAGCCCTGCTCTCTGACCTGCCAATCTTGGGTTCGCCAGCCCATGCAGCTACATGACCTTGTGGTCTTGCCTGCCAATCCTGGAATTCATCAACCTTCACAGCTTGTGAGTGGGAAGCCCGCTCTCTGACCTGTCGAACTTGGGCTCACTAGCTTCTGCGGCTGTGTGACCTGGGAGAGGCCTCTACCCTGATCCATGGACTTGGGACGTTCTAGCCTCTACCATCACGTGAGTTTCCTTGATATAAATCTCTTTCTAGATATTTATATTTATACATATGTATTTATACGCTTTACTGGTTTTGCTTCTCTAGAGAAACCAGCCTAAGACATGGGGAAACCATAGCAGACAGAGGATTAAATGACTTTCCCAAGAGCACACAGCTAGCAGGTGATGGAGCTAGGATCTGAGCACAAGCCCTGAGTGTGTGCTGTTAACCATATGCTAGAACATGAAAAGCACTGAATGTCTTGCTAGGACATTTGGTTTAATTCTGTAGAAATCTACTGAGGATTCTAAATAAAAGACTGGCACAATTAGTAGTAACTCTGGAGGTAGAACCAAGAAGGAAAAATGGAGAAGGGAAAAGTAAAAAGCAAAGAGAAATGAAACATAGGATGTCACAAACTAGGCGAGGGGCAGCAGCCTTGGAAAAGTCACACTCTGGGGACAGGAATCAGAGGAGTTTATGACCAATGACATGCGGGGACTGAGGGAAGAGGGAGTCAAGGACCCTTCCCAGGGGTTAAGCCTGGATGACTGGGATGTGCAGTGGGGAAATGGCTTAGAAAAGGAATACGCAGAGCATATGTGGTGAGGGTTAGAAGCAGTGAGTTCAATTTTGGACACATCGAGGAACTGGTGAGATTTGCAGGTGCAGACATCCTACAGGCTGGGGACTGGGAGGGACGTCTGGGCATGAGATGCCAAGCAGACCAACATGCAAGGGAAGGCTTGGGTGGAAGCTCTGGGCATGAGTGAGACTGTGTAGGGGAGAGACTGCATGTGAGTGTGGGCAAGTGCAGGAACTGGGGGCCTTTCGCACATTTAAGGACCATGAGAAGAACTCTTTGGTGAGGGAGGAGGATAGGCTTTATCGGAAGCTGAAGGAGAATGAAGGGAAGAAAAAGAACAGAAAAGAGGTTCCCGCTTCCCCTCGCTTCATCCTCAGTGTAGACCTAGAATTTACTGGAGGAAAGGAACGAAGATTTTGGTTGGAGAGATGCTCTCCTTGCCCCTGAAGCGGCTCCAGCACCCTTTACACTGGTACCTCTCAGACTGTGCACCTGGGAACTTCTGGCTGAGGCATGGTTGGAAAGTCTGCATTTCTAACAAGCTCCCAGGTGATGGGGATGCTGCTGGGTCTCAGAATGCACTCTGAATAGGAGAACCAGAGCAGTACTACATAGGGTGTGGTCTGCAGACCCCTACGTATCTGAGAACTGTTGTGACAGGTCATCAAAGCAGTAAGCACAGAAATTAAGAGTGTTTAGAAACTTTTAGCAATTTGACAGTAATTTTATGTCCCTTAAATCTAATTTAAAAAAATGTTTTGTATGTTTTTGTTTAATTTCATATTTTTTTGTGCTTTAAGTGAAAGTTTATGATTCAAGTTAGTAATTTCGTATTTCTGATTAATTCATATTATATTTTATGAAAGTATCAGTCCATGATGGACTACAAATGACTGAACAAAAACTGGATCCTTCTCCACAGAGAGTTTGGAAAGCTTGACTCTCAACAGTGTCTTGTCAGGGCACGGAGGCTGGAGGCCGTTCTAACACTGATGGATTCCTTTGTCTCCTATCTCCTCTTCCTCAGGGCAGGAGTTGTATTTATCTTTCTAGTCCCTCTTTCCCAGTGCCTCAATCAAAACAAAATAGGTTTCTTAAGGCCATCTGGATTCTAGTAATACTTCAGGGCCATCACTGTGGATAGCATTACATTCTCTGCAGGTGTAAGAGGTGAGGCTAAACTGAGCTTTTGAGTAACATCTCAGTGTCGATGTGTAACTCTGTGCAGAGTGCAGAAAGAAAACTGCTTCACAAGTTACTGACTTATCAGACCTCATCTCAACCAAAGAATTTTAGTCTCATTTCTCTCCTGGCCCCCTCACCTAACAGCATAATCTGTCACGGAGGCTGGACACTTACCTGCCATATCACATGTGATGAGATCTAACTTCTGAGTCATCTCCTTTTCATTATCATAGCTGATGGTAAACTCAGATGACTGATGTCTGGCAAAGGGATACTTAATCTGCTTCCAACAGCCTGGAACGAAGAGAACATGAAACTAGTACATCAGAAATGTAACACATGCTCTCCACGATGTGCTCCTCGAAGAGTCTGCCTCTAAGCCCTTCCTGACGGCTGACCGTGACCAATGCATCGCCACACCCTTCATATGCACCTAGAGAAAACAGCATCTGAGGTCATTAGCAGTAGCCACAAGCACTACCCCAGCCATGCTTTACACTGTGACATCAAAATGTATTTGCACGCCCATCAGGTCCCAGGGTATTCCTATGTTGGACCATGCTGGACCATATCTGCACTGACATGGCATTGGTGGCCTGGAGGAGACAATGTGGCTGGCTCTTTAGACCTCACGGAGGTAGAGTCTTGAATGGTCCCTGAGGTTTCCCAGGACCCCTGCCTTGCTGCCCCCTCTCGCGGCCACAGCTGACTGCTGTTCAATGCTTGAGCATCCTGCATCATAAGGACTTTCTGAAACCTGAATGTGAACCCTGGTCTAGTCCTTTCCCCACTTTCCCAGAGTGGAAAATACAGTGGAAGCCTGAAGATGCTGACTGTGCTGGTCTATGTTCAGTTCGTAGATGAGGCTTTTATAACTTCTCCTTGAAGACAGATAGTGTGCTGGCCTAATCTCCAGTGGCTGAAAAAATGAGTGTTGATAAACGATGGGGATGATATTAAACAAAGGTAAATAAGCCGTCAAATCTCTGAATTAAAATAGAATGAAGAGATAGGGCACAATAAATTCCTCCCTTCTAGATTTGCCAACTTAAAGGCTATAGATCATTTTTTTTTTTTTTTAAGCCAAATAAATAAATAAATAAATGCGGGCCACAGGCCTAATTATGCTTTCAATAAGCAGCTCTTGTCCCCCAAAGACAAAATAAAACTGTAGAGTTTTCAACGAACCTGTTTTCTGAGCCTCAGCTGATCCATAAGGATTTCCTTTCTTCTTCCTTCTATCAAGACAAAAAGTCCATCTGAATATTTATAAGTCACTATGTCTCTCTCTCCATCTATAACATGCGGATCATAATAGTACTCACTTTGTTGGGAGATTAAATGAGATAATAATGGTCATGTGCTTAGAACAGCAAGTAAATATGTAGGATTATATATAAATACATCTTATTTATAAAAAGGTCACAATATTTTCACTAGAAGAATGTGCTCATTTTACTTTATATCCTAGAAAGCAATATTTTATTATTTTATTTTCTCACTAGCTCATGCAGTCAATAAAAATCATTGATTTTTTAGAAAATAATTAGGCCCAATACTTCAGATGGAAAAGCCCAAAGTTGAAAAAAAAGACAGATGAAGCAATCCCTCAAGATCACACACTCTCACTTCATCTCTACTCAGCTATAAAACTAAAACCAAACCTGTTGCTACTGAGTGGATTCTGGCTCTGGTGACCTCACGATTACAGAGTAGAACTGCTACACACGGTTTCCTTGGCTGTAACTGTTATAGAAACAGACCTCCAGGCCTTTCTTCCAGGGCCTGTTGGGTGGGTTCAAACTGCCAACCTTTTCGTTAGGAAACTCATTGCCATCAGTCGAATCTGACTTACAGCAATCCTTTAGTTGAGGGCAAACTGTTTGTGCCACCCAGAGACCTCTATTCACTATAAACCAAAACCAAATCCATTGCCGTCAAGTCAATTCTGACTCATAGTGACCCTATAGGACAGAGTAGAACTGCCCCATAAGGTTTCCAAGGAGCGGCTAGTGGATTTGAACTGCTGACTTTTCGATTAGCAGCCAAGCTCTTAACCGCTGAGCCACTAGGGCTCCCTATTCACTATACTCTGGTCTAAAATTGTGGGTATCTTTGAAAGCATTTATCACAAAACTATTAAGCCAAGACATTCGCTTTAAGTCATGAATATTTACATGAAGCTTAAATTAAAAACCAGATTTTTGTACCTTTTCCTGCTTTCGTCCAGAAAACTGTTCTTCATTCTATTTGTAATAGAACCCATGTATAAATTCTGAAGCTTTTTAAAATACAAAAAGAAACTTCAGAATGCTTTCCATTCTTTGTTAAGTTCCAACTCCTAACATTTGTTACGATAAACATGCAGTTTTGGATTCTGGAAGAGAGTTAGTGCTTCTCCAGGTAAAACCTTCTGTTTTGTGCAGGAGAAAAGTGAGCTTCCTACTTAGTGACACAGGTGGGACCAGAACTCAGACTTCCTGATTCTTATGCTAGTACTCTTTCCACTCTACTGGAGGGAGAAAAACAGAGTCTTCAATAAGAATGTTTTAGTCCTATACTACTCTGTCAACAATGTTCAGCAGTTTCTAAATGATAAGAACTGTTTATAAAATAATATGTGAGAATTTCTACCTCTATGCAACTTGTTTTTAACATATAAGTTAACATTTTCTCTTGGAAGAAGTAATGCTACTTTTCTATACATGAATATCTCAAAAGTAAACCTTTTCGTTTTATAATTGTTTACATAATTATAGAAGAAATTTAAAAAATGTAAAATCACATACTTTCTAAAGGCTGCAAAGATTCCCATTCCAGCAACCAGTAGGGCAACCAGCAGCCCCAATGGAATAGCAACAATTGTAAAGTTCACTCCTAAAGAGGGGGAAAAGCCAGAACATTACAATATAAATAAACAATAACCAGATTTCATTATCTAAAACTGAATATTAGTTTAAAAGGTCCTGGATTGCTAAATAGATGGGAAAAAGTGAATACATGCTATCCACTTATTAATATCTGAAAGGAAAAGTAGAAGATTTGAAATCCTGGCTAAATTTAGGAAAATAAATTTTTTCTCCCAAAAAGGAGTTTCTAATGTTCCTAGGGGATTAACATTTACTCCGAGTTTGTTGTTTGGCCAACGTTAAAAAACAAAACAAAACCTGTTGTCGTCAAGTTGATTCTGACTCATAGCGACCCTACAGGACAGAGTAGAACTGTCCCATAGGGTTTCCAAGGCTGTAATCTTTACAGAAGCAGACTGCTTCATCTTTCTTCTGAAGCTGGCGGGTTCCAACAGGTGACCTTTTGGTTAGCAGCCAAGTGCTTAACCACTGTACCACCAGGGCTCCTCTTGGCCCACTTTAGACTCCAAAACTCAGAATCAAGAGAGAGAAGGTTTAAAACTGACCCACCCAGTTAGGAGCTATTTAGACAGGTAAATTATTTAAGCACAGTGTGGAGCTTTTAGCTTGGCTCCAGTAACCAGTTCCCCAAGATGGTGGGTGGATTTGGACCTGCACAATAACAGAGACCTAAGGAACTCTGGGTTTTTCATTATCAGGGCTTTGGAGCATGGACTGAAAGGAAATACAGCCTGAGCCCTAGTGGCGCAGTGGTTAAGAGTTTGGCTGCTACCCAAAAGGTCGGCAGGTTGAATCCACAGCCACTCCTTGGAAACCCTAACGGGCAGTTCTACTCTGTCCTATGGGGTTGCTATGAGTTGGAATCGACTTCACGGCAACAGGTTTTGACCTCAAACAGCATTTGCACTTAGCTACATGAAACATGAGGCCATGAGTTTCCTATAACTCCTCTGCTTTAAAAAAGGTGGTGGTGCAGTGGTTGAGTGCTCAACTGCTAACCAAAAGATCACTAGCCGCTCCATGGGAGAAAGATGTAGCGGTCTGCTTCCGTAAAGATTATAACCTTGGAAATTCTATGGGGCAGTTCTACTCTCTCCTGTATGGTCACTATGAGTCAGAATTGACTCAGTGGCAACGGGTTTTAACAGCCACTGAAGCAAGCCCCAAGTTTGTAGAAACTATGCAAACTAAAGTAGAAATATTTACTTTTTATCCTTCTTTATGTATGATCCCTGGGAAAAAAACAAAGGGATAATCAGGATAGGAAATGTGTAGTTCCATGAAAGAGAGGATAAGGAATTTATATATGAATGAAAATTTATGTAAATAATGGCAGTGTTATTTATAAGAGTGAAAATTTTGGGGAAAATTGTAAAAACTTCAACATCCAGCAATAGAGGAATGGTTAAATGATGGTAAATTCATGTGATGAAATACTATAAAGCTATTAGTAATTGTGCTTTTCAGCTACTTAGTAACATTGAAAAATGCTCATAATACAATATTAAATAAAAATGCTACTGAATAGAGTATATGGTATGTTCCCATTTTTGTCTTAAAGTTATAAATATCAACATAGTGGACTGAATATGGTGGGATATGAATGGAAATCATCTATGGATGCTGATTATAGGTGATTTTCATTCTTTTCTTTATGTTTTTCTAATCTTTTCAGATTTTATAATGCTAATGTTATTTTATATTCTAAAAAATAAATATTTCAATGTTTGTTTCTTGAAAAGATTATATATATTTACATGTTCAAAATTCAAAAGGTATAAAATGGTATGAATGTAATATCTTCTACCTCTGTTCCTTCTCCGCACAGGAGACCAAATTATGTTTCTTGACATTCATCCAGAGATACTTTTTTTAATACATAAACAGTAAAAATGTATATTTATATTATTTTCCCTCTTCTTTACACACATGGTAACACGCTATATAGACTGTTCTACTCCTTGCTTTTTTTTTTAAGTTGTCAATATATCTCAGAGAGAGTTTTCCACATTGCTAACATAGTCTTCATTCTTTTCTTATGCCCATACAGTATTTCAAGGTATAGATGTGCTATTATTTTATTTTTTGTAACATATTTACCTAGTGTTTGAAAGGCAGTAAGTTTGCTTCTTTTTCTGCTTACAATGTTGCAATGAATATTTGTGGACATAAATCATTGTACATGTGCAAATACCTCTGGACTGTCTGCTTCCAGATACTTAAATGACAGAGAAAATAAATTTTGTTGAATTATTATTATATTGGGTAGGGCACCAGTTATGCTCCTTACAAAACCACAGAACAATGTCACTGCTGTACCTGTGTGTCCTTCTTCTGAGGGGGTGGGATATGTGATTGTCTCATCGTCTCTCTCAGCTGAAACACCAGTAGTCTGACTTGTTTTGCGCCACACCAGTGAATTATTACCTGAGAGAAGGGATGTTGGAAAACCACGTTAGTAACAAGGACTGTGAAAGCAAATAACCAAAATCAAGTAACTCACTGACATGCCCTGAGCCCCACCTTTTGTAATCTGGCAACCAATGAGCTCCACTTTCAAGGCTATCCTCTGGTGCCAAGTCTGGGGGATGATCCGCACATATCTGGCCACGATGGGAGGGATGAAATTGTTTCTCACTGGGTCCTGAAAGTTAGAGTTTCCTTGGAATACCTGTAGAAAGAAGTTACTTTTATTTGAAGATTCTGTTAGTCTCATAGGTCTTTATCAATCTGCTCATACCTAGTTATATGAAACCAAAGCAAGGATTCTGTCAGTTGTATTTTTTAGACCTCTTGCTACTGAAGGTATAAGAACTTGTAAACAAAGGCCAAGTTACTTACGTGGTATTATTAATCTGTTTTCTGATTTAAATTTCATTTTGGATAAAGAAGTTAAAATTTCCTAGTTGTATTACTTACCTTGCTCTTTCTACATTAATATGGTGCTATAGATTGGTAACCTCAAGAGCACAAGTTGTCTATTCTTACCCACTTCCTAATTCGAATTATCTGTAACAGCCTCTCGATTCAAATTTCCAACCCCAAACCTCCACCATGCTCTAATTCATACTAAAGCAATTATTTCAAGTTACCAACTATCACTTCCCAGGAGAATCACAAGTATCTCATTCTGAAGTAGAAAAGAATTAAATCTCAAATATCTCTTAAGATTTTTTTTATTCTCACATGCTCAAGGAAGGACTGTCATTGTCTTTTATTAATGAAAACTATAACGTAAACACACGGGCAAAAATATTTGGAGGCCTGCTCCTTCTACTCAGTTCTCTTTACTCCTGAGTTTCTCTTACCTTTTCTTCATTATTCACAATTCCTTTATAGGTCCTCCACTTGGAGCTGTTGTTTTTAAAATTCATTACAAAACTCTTAACAGAAAAGTTGAAACTTGACTGTGTGGATCCTGTGGTCTTAATTCCTTAGAAGGAAACATTATTTATAGGTTAGCTTCTAAACTATGTTAACATATAGCATATACCATAATTTCAGGTTTCATTTTATTCTCATTTGAAATGTCAGCATTTTACAGACCAAATTTGATTAGTTACATTTAAAAATCTGATCATAGATGAGTGTTTTCACATTGACAATCTACCATAAAAAGGTTTCGTCAATGAGGTATTATCCATAAAGTGAACCAAACGGAACACTGTACTGATATTTACAATCTGCACACAGTTCTTCTCACAGGGACTATGTGAGGGTTTGTAACATTTTAAAACTATATCAAGGACTTTCAATTAGAGACAGAGGCAACTAGGTAAATCAAAACAATTTCACCAGAAAGTCTTCTGGCATTCCCAAAACTGCTTCAGTGCTTCCCATAAGTACCTGTTATTTTCTTTTTCTCTCCCAAATCTATCTCCAGCCACTCTCGTTGCTTGCGGTTATTGTTGTCCCCTGAAGCCCATGATGGGCCTTGATCCTGATGCTGGGCCTGGCCAGGAGACCAATGAACTGTGATCTGCCTGTTAGGTTCCAAACTCAAGGATTTGCTACAATCTAGGAAAAAAGGGAAGTAAAACATTTAAGATATGGATATAAAATGAAAGCACACACACAAAAAGTACCCTAGTACACCTAGAATTATTTAGTTGATATACTTCTATTCTGGTATTGAATCAACTGTTTAATTACTAGTTTTTTATGACCCGGACTTGCACTTGACTCATTTGTACAATAGTATCTTGAAATTCTTGCTTTTTCTTTTTTTTTTTAAATTGTGGCAAAGCTATATATTTTGCTGTTTCAATATTTTTTACGTGTACAATTCAGTGACAATAATTAGTTTCATAATGTTGTGTAACCATCACCATTATCTGTTTTCAAATTTTTCCATCACCCTTAACAAACTCGGTGCCCCTAAGCTATGACCTCCCCTTCTCTCCTCTCTCCTGCCTTTGGTAACCACTAACAAACTTTCGTCTCTATACCTTTGCCAATTAGATATTTCATTTAAGTGGGATCATATATTTGTCCTTTCGTGACTGACATATTTCACTTAACATAATGTTTTCCAGGTTCATCTATGTCATAACATGTATCAGGAGTTCATTTCTCTTTATGGCTGAATAATATTCCATTTTATGTATGTACCACATTTTGTTTATCCTTTCATCTGTTGATAGACATTTAGGTTGTTTCTACCTTTTGGCTATTGTGAATGGTGTTGCAATGACCATTGGTGTACAAGTATCTGTTTTCGGTCCTGCTTTCAGTTCTTTTGGGTATAAACCAAGGAGTGGAATTGCTGAGTCATATGGTAATTCTATATTTTACTTTTTCAGGAACCACCACATTGTTTTCCATAGACGCTGCACCATTTTATAATCCCACCAGCAATGGAAGAGGGTTCTAATTTCTCCACTTCCTCACCAACACTTGTTTTCCACTTTTCTGATCATAGCCATTCTTAGTGGAAGTGAAATGGTATCTCATTATAGTTTTGATTTGCATTTCCCTAATGACTAATGAATGGAGCCCTGGTGGTGAAGTGGTTAAGAGTTTGGCTGCTAACCCAAAGGCTGGCAGTTCAAATCCACCAGGTGCTCCTTGGAAACCCTATGGGGTAGTTCTACTCTGTCCTATAGGGTCGCTATGAGTTGGAATAGACACAACAGCAATGGGTTTGGTTGTTTTTGGGTTCATGACTAATAAAGGAGCCCTGGTGGTGCAAACAGTTAAGTGCTTAGCTGCTAACCAAAAGGTTGGAGGTTTGAACCCACCCAGCTGCTCCGTGGAACAAAGACCTGGCAATCTGCTTTCATAAAGATTACAGCCAAGAAAACCCTATAGGGCAGTTTTACTCTGTTACATGGGGTTGCAGTGAGTCAAAATCAACTAGATGGCACTTAACAACAATAACTAGTGATGCTGAATATTTTTTCATGTGCTTGTTGGCCATTACTTTTTTGGTAAAATGTCTACTCAAGTTTTTTGCCCATTTTTTAATTTTTTTTGTCTTTTTGTTGCTAAGTTGTAGTAGTTCTTTATATATTCTGGAATCAAACATTATCTAATACTACATGGTTTTCCCAAACTTCCTCCCAATCTGTAGGCTGTCTCTTCAATTTGTTGATAAAGTCCTTTGATGCATAAAAGTTTTTTGTTTTGATGCAGTCCAATTTGTCTATTTTGTCTTTTGTTGCTCATGCTTTTGGTGCCATATCTAAGAATCCATTGTCAAAAACTAGACCTGAAGCATTACTCCTGTGTTTCCTTCTAACAGTTTTATAGTTTTAATTCTCACATTTAGGTCCTTGATCCATTTTGTGTTAATTTTCGTATATGGTGTAAGGTATGGGTCCAGCTTCATTCTTATTTGCATGTGGAAATCTAGTTGTCCCCTGCTTTTCTTTTTAATGGACCTCACCAAAGTCACATCCCCTATAAGTGCTACCTTGTTGTCCCCTCTGTATATTTTCTTTTCTGACCTTCTAAATTCACCCCAATTTTAACAAAGTGTAACCTGTTTTAAAGTTACTAAAGATACTTCTTCTGAATCATCTGTCGTATATCTTGAGTTTTATATCTCTCAAAGTAACTATTCAAAAGTTATCTCTTGCCTTAAATTCTCAAAATACCTCTGGTACCCTTTTTAAACAGATTAATTCATTTTATAATTGTTTCCCTGTACTTCAAAAGATTTGACTTTATATATACATATATACAGTCTTTGATTATATATATTATACATATATTATATATATAAATAATTCCTTTGTGTGTGTATGTATATGTGTGTGTATGTATATATATAGAAGCCCTGTGGTGCAGTGGTTTAGAACTTGGCTGCAAACAAAAGGTCGGCAGTTCAAATCCACCAGCCGCTCTTTGGAAACCTTATAGGGCAGTTCTACTCTGTCATATACGGTCACTATGAGTCAGAATCGATTCAGCGGCAATGAGTTTGGTATTGTGTGTGTGTGTAAAATGGATGTGAATAGCTCCTTGGCTTAGCTAAATTTTTGGCTTTTATGAATTATATCTTATTTCTAGTTTTTCAATTTTCTCAAAAATATGTAATATTTTACTTTAAATATGTGCTAATCTAAACCATAGTAAATTGTTTCACAAAAAGTGTTTTATTCCTTAACCAGTCTTAACCATCTCAAAATTATTAGACCAAAAAAAGAAAAATGTATTTTACATATCATGTGAGTTAAAAAAAAAAATGGCATAATTTGAATAAACCACCAATGAAGAATTTTAAAATATTAAATTTTTAAGGAAAGCATGACCCTTACCATCCGAGGCAAACTGAAATCGCTTATCTGACAGGGAACCACTGAAACAAAAAATACAAACAGGAGGAGGTGAGTTGCTTAACTAGATCATAATGGCTGATACAGTTATATCACAGGGCTGATACAGTTATATCACAGCTTTCCTACACATGGTACCTCATGTGATCCTCATAGCACCTCTACAAGGCCACTGCTCTCACCTTCACCATCACATCATCATTGTTTTATAGATTAGAATACTCAAGGCCACTGAAGGTAAGCAACTTTCCTAAAATCGTTCAGGTGACACGTGGCCAAGACTTTGAGACACTGCTTTTGAATCAAAATCCTGTGTTGTTTCCATCATACCACACTGTATTGGGAAGGAATGTGCAACTATATAGTCTCAAGAATAACTTTAAATCCCAGTGAATTAAATACATGGCGATGGAGGCAGAAGGATCGCTGCCTTGAAAATTCCCTTTGCCTCAGCTGTTGTTGTTGTTAGGTGCCATCGAGTTGGTTCCGACTCATAGCGACCCTATGTACAACAGAACGAAACACTGCCCGGTCCTGCGCCATCCTCACCATCATTTTTATGCTTGAGCCCATTGTTGCAGCCACAGTGTCAATCCATCTTGTTGAGGGTCTTCCTCTTTTTTACTGGCCCTCTACTTTACCAAGCATGATGTCCTTCTCCAGGGACTGATCCCTCCTGATAATATGTCCTAAGTATGTGAGACAAAGTCTCACCATCCTCACTTCTAAGGAGCATTCTGGTTGTACTTCTTCCAAGACAGATTTGTTTTTTTTTTCGGCAGTCCATGGTATATTCAACATTCTTTGCCAACACCACAATTCAAAGGCGTCAATTCTTCTTTGGTCTTCCTTATTCAAGAGATTTCACTTCAGCAGTCACCTTAAAGCATCTGACTTATTGTCAACAAGCAAGGACCATTGAGAGGAATGAAGAAGTATGGTCACTTTTAGTAAAAATGCTGAGCATGTCATTTCTTACTTGCCTTCTCTACCTACTTCCTTTTGATGGAGTCTTGCCCCAGCATTGTTCCTCCCAGACAGCCTCAGTCCAGAATCTCTCTCTCCACAGTCATACTCCTACCTACCCTTGCAACCAGCAGAAAGCTATGAACCAGTTCCTGCTTCTGGATTTCAAGGTACAGCTGGAGAAAAAACACAGCACCTCACTGACCTGAACTGAACTGGGCCCTGGCTGCTGCTAGATGGTCCCACTACTCACCTGGCATTGATTCTCTGCCCTCTTGGGCCCTGTCGTTCTACAGTCTGTTTTACTCTCATGTAAGAACTTATCAAATCAATCTCATTCTGCAGTTATCTCCTTCAGTCAAGAAGAGATTCCTAATGTCCAAGACTGCATTTACTTTTTTTTCCTTTTAATCCCTCACCAATGGAATTAAAATAAGGTAAAATGAGTGAAAAATTTAGAATGCTCGTAATTTTCTTACGTGCATAGTACTTACCTATTAGATATAGAGGCAAACACAAAAGGGTAGATGTCACTGGGTTCAACGATTTTATAAACTGAGAGTGTTGCTTATTATTTTAAATGTTTAACTTTTAAATATATATGAGAATAATGAACAGAGAATACTAAAATGTAAAATCCACAGAGAACCCAAAAATACTCTGGCCAAAAGTATAAGCATCTTCCCATTAAAAAGCCTTTTTAGTAAAAAGACTGCCTGGAATAGATTTTCTCTTCCATATTCTTCATCTACTCTCAGTCAGAGACTCCTTAAGCCCTGGTGTTTCACAGAAAGGTTCCAGTATAATCTGTGCACTGAATGTAATGCAGGCACCAAACCTTTCTCACATGAGAAAAGTCAGATCCAGATGGGTCACGGAACTTGCCTTAGTTCAAAGTGGCAGGGCTGGGATGAGAACCGGCTCTCCTGGCACTTACACAGAGTTGTACATTATTTTTATTCATATTTAAATTTACATGAGGATTTAAAGCCTTTCTCTGGTCTGTTTTCTCAATTTTCTCTAATGTTCCTGCACTAAGTGCTAAACTTGAAATTTGGCTCAAATAAGCCCAAACAATAACTGCTACAACCCTGAGAGCCTAGGCTACTATGACGCTCTGAATTAATTCTGTTGTGTACAAAGAGAAGTAGTTATAGAAATAAGGATAACTTTGGAGGTGACTGAGGGGAGGACTCCAGGGAAGACTCGGCATCTCCTAACTCTCCGCCTCACTTTCGTTCATGATCAGTGAGGAATGTGGTTTTCCACCCCACTCTATTAAACTGCTTAAATACCACCTCTGAGAGAATTCCATAGGTAAATAATAAAAAAATGAGAACACCCTAGGGAGAGGTAGGGTTCTGAGGCATTCACACGTTAGTGAATTAACTCAATCACACTTACAGGAATTGCTAGCCTTCCCAGAGGGCTCCAGAGGCAATCAAGAATAATCTGATAGAAACAGAAAGAAAGGCCTTCCCTTCTGATGGTCCGAGCCATCATCCTCCATATGAGGTCAGTCCCTCTTCCTGATTCCATTCTAGTCTCTGCAAATCAAGGAAGTGACCTGACCTGGGATGAATCCCAGAAGAACCCTGGATATTTATTTAGGGACCCCTTCTTCTTCAGCTGCAACGCTTCCTTCTGTGTTTTTTCCTGAATGCCAAACAATCATGTGTGGGAACATAAGTTCAATGACCGCATGTACAGCGGTTCCCCAACAGCAAAACAACACAGATAAAAACAACTACCCCCTGAAGATTTGGGAATCCAAATAAGTGGAAGGGACTATTAACATCCAGTTTACTCTTCTTGGCTCAGTGCAAAAATTCAGTGCAAAATCACAGAGTAAGAAGGAAGAAGGGACCTGATAAAATTCTGGACTTTGTATCTCCTTCCACCAAAAACAAAATTCATAGTGGACAATTAGTTCAAATAACTATATGGAGCATGTGTAAAACTCTAATTCATTAATGGTTTAGGTTTCTATACTCTTCTTTTTTTGGTGTGGAAGTTTAATTTCAAATTATACAAAGCCAACTTACTATGTATTGAGTACAGTTATGTAGCAGAAGTAATTGAGAGCATAAACTTGCAACTCAGTAGTTTTACTACAAATAGTTTTTCTTCAAAATAAAATTAAATCCAAGTGGTACAGATTAAATTTATTGCCATCCTATTTTCTTACAAAAGAAACATTCAAATATATAAAAGCTCAGGCAAGGGATTCCAAATATAGATTTAAAACCAAAGGCCAGTACTTCACTCCTATTTGGAGGTAGCAGCACCCAACAAATCTAGGCCACAGCCTGATACCCTCCTAAAATAACACCCTAATATCAATCGAATAAACCATAAAAAAGGAATGATCCTCAAAAGTCAAGGTCAAGCTGACACTTAAAAGGCTACTGTGGTGGTTAAGAGCTTGGCTGCTAACCAAAAGGTTGGCAGTTTGAATCCGCCAGCTGCTCCTTGGAAACCTTACGGGGCAGTTCTACTATGTCCTATAGGGTCACGATGAGTCGGAATCGACTTGATGGCAATGAGTTTGGTTTTGGTTTGGTGCATAAGCGATGACTTTTACTATTAATCAGGATATAAATTTTAATGTTCCGAAGAGTTTGAGGGAAATATATATGTTATATCTGTGTGTATGTATATATGCATATATATGTATGTGCGCATATACATATGTACATACACACATATATGTAATTTTATTTGAGTAAGAATTTTAGTTTCTAAAGGCATACTGTTAGTAAGCTTTTCTTAGGCACAAGTTTGGGACTAATTTGTCTTTGTATGCTCAGGTGATATAAAAAGAACACTCTGGGGCCTCTTATAGCTAAAAATCCTATCCAGAAGGGAGAAGTTAATGGTAAGGTCAAGGTAGGTAGAGAACACAAACACAGTAAGTTAACCTGCATATCCTAGGATGCTGCACACACCGTCTTCAGTAAATGGTCTTTTATGGATTACCTACACCATGGGTGGCCTTGCTCGTGAAAGAGTTGGATTGGAACACCCTCTCCAATTCCCCCTGGGGAACTCAGAATTGCCAGTGACAGAGGCTCTGTCTACTTTCCTCAGCCATCAATCAGCTAGCCAGCTGGACATGAATACCAACTACCGCCCACAGCTCTTCTCTGGCACCGTGCTCATGCCTTGACTTTCTGCCTCTTTGATTCTCCTGAAGCCTTGTTCCTGCCTTGTATCAAATCCAAGGCCCGCCTTCTTCATGAAGGTAACTACCCAAGCTCTCCCCTAGCCACAGTCACTGCTTCAAAATCTTTCCTTGAGCTTAGGCTAACACCATAATTCAGAAATGGGTTTTAGTCCCAAAGGTTTTATCTTTTGTGAGTTCATAAGTTGGTTCTTTAGAATTAAAAACATGTTTTCCTATAAAAACAATGTTATAACCTATATTTAGTTCTATACATCTCTAGGTTTACACCCTCCAGAGGCTTCGGAAATCTGAAAGCTGAACTAGAAACATTTAGAGCAGTTGACATACTTTTTTCTTATGAAGCTAAAAGAGCAGAGGATAACACTAAACAAAAATCGTCTTTTTTTCTCACTCCCCAAATGACGATTTGTCAAGAGATTGTCTCTAGGGGTCTTTGGGGAGACATCAGTGGTTCTCTAAGAGTTTGTTTCAGTTCACCGTCTCCTTCAGTATCTTAGATGACACTCAAGATAACCAGTAAATCCCTGACCCAGTAAAAACTAAAAAGGAATAAGCTTTTATTCTCTCTCATTAAAGCACCAGAGAGAGTAGAAATACTCCTCTGTGCTGGGACCTCAGAGGAGGGCCTTTTTAATTTACCTGTCAGCATAACCAGTGAGCTTTTTATGTGCTACATTTATCTTCCACAGAGAAACCATAAATGCTGCTCCAAGCACTCACACATACTTTTCCCAACTGACAAATCCTTAGTATCACATCTCTGCTGTCCTTTCAAAATTGTGAACGGATTAATTATGCCTTCAGGGTTACCTTCCTCTCAGAACAAAAGGCAAAGTACTTACTCCCTTGAGTGCACGCCATTGGCCAGGATTCCTTCATATCGACTTAACCCTTTACTCTGAAGCACGCTGATTTGGCCACCCAGTTCATCTGCAATTACTCCTGCATGGATGGCAGCTTTGCACAATAAAGAGGTCTGAAACATAGCAACATCATGATCCATAGCTTACTTACGAACACATTAAAAATATAGTTGGAGTTTCCAGTTTTGCTTCTGTGATAATTTACCACCACCTTCCCCCCAGTGAATAATGCCTCCTGGTGGTCAAGCTTGTGGAGTCACCTCCCACAGTGACTGAACTAGGCCATGTTGCTTGCTTTGGTCTGTGGTACTGATCTGCTGCAGATAACGTGGCCCAACCATCTGTCAGCATCAACTGTGGCACATGCGCATGAAGCCATCTTAGACCATCAGCCCCAGCTGACTCCTACATGACTGCAGCCACATGCGATTCCAGAAGAGGAAAGATTAAGAACCATACATTCCAAATTGCTAACCCACAAACTCGTCAGCAAATAAAACAGTATTATAAGCCACAAAGTTTTGGGGTGGCTTGTTAAGCAGCAATAGATAACTGATCTAATTTGTTATACTTGGTTTACCAGTTACACATACTAAGTATCATTTGAGAAGCTGAGCCTTATCACAGCTTCAGTTGTTAATTAATTTAGAGATTTAACAAGGCATCAAACACAAAATGGTAAAGCAAGGCACGGCACACTATGTGGAACAGAAAAGTTCCTGAAGGTCCTAAAGCGATGATGAGCAACCAAGGGTTCACATCCACCATCTCCATTCCTGAATCCCCTCAGAGAGGGTCACTCTACACCTATTCAACCCTCCAGGGCTCAGATTGAGGGCTTCAGCACACGGCTGGCTGGTCTGACAAAGCAACGAGGAGTAACTGACTGACTGGCTCTGATTAACAGGTCATCATGGGATTGGAATTGGCTTGTCGGGAAGTGGACAGAAGGAACAACTAGAACTTTCCCATGGGGTACACATGCCTGTAGGCCCCCATGAGCACAGTCCTGGGTGAGAATGATACTTTTCTAAATAAACTTTAGACTCTCTCCACTTCTCCTTGATGGCTAGTGCCAAAGAAAATAAAAAGAAAAAAAGAAAAGCAGCCAATAAAATTGTTTTCAGTAAATGGATTTAAGAGTTCCTCTGTCCTTGTGGTGCAGTGGTTAAAAACTCAGCTGCTAACTAAGACGTCAGCATTTTGAATCCTCCAGTTGCTCCTTGGAAACCCTATGGGACAGTTCTACTCTGTCTTATAGGGTTGCTATGAGTCAGAATCAACTTGGCGGCAACGGGTTTAGTGTTTTTTTTTTTCCTATGTATTAAATGATGTTTATTTGTAGTGGAAAAAAAATCCCTAAGATTTAAGACACAATATTAGGAGGACCAATAAGACAAATCTTATTTTGTAAATAAGTAGTTGCAAATAAAATTGAGAACTTTTGTGATCTTCAATTTAGAGAGTTCACATTTCCCAAGCCACATTAGATTTGGTAGTGTGCATCAGTTTGCCATAACTGCTACTGGAGCCAAAAGAAAAAAAAATTCAGTGACAGAGAAGAAATATGAGAATGCTTAAACATATAAACACAAATGCAGATACTATACTTCCTAATTTGTAAAACAGAAAAGAAGAATTACAAGAAGAAGAGAAAAAGATAGTTTCTTTAATGAAAATACAGTTTGCATTTTTTTTCTTCCTGAATGTTCTTTCATTAAAAAGCTTTCTTATCACTACTTTGGACTCTTGAGGTGCAAAATGGAGAAGCCGGTTATAGTGAAAAAGTTGTGGATTTAAAATCACTAACTGAGTTTGTCATTCTGGCTCTGCCTCTAACTTCACTCTGTGTACTTAAGTCATTTCACGGCTCTGGACCCAGCTTCTCAACTCATCTGTACAATGAAATGGCTGACTGGATGATGTCTAGTGTCCTTCTAAAGGTCTGTCATCTTGTGATTCTAAAGGGAACCCAGTGTCCCTATAATAGGGGCCCTGGGGGCCTGCCTCCCCTCTCTAAGCCCCAGAATGAAAAATAAATTGGCCCAGTGGTCTGTCGGACAGCTACTTCTGCTGTTCCTGAGATTATCAGTCTCCCCTGGAATTCTGTACAGAGATGGGATGGTCCTCATCTCAGGGGCCTTGCCTCGTGTAGAGCCCTCACTGGACTTGGCATGTCCCAGAGTCCCTTGGCTGAAAACGACAGGATCAGAGATCCACAGGCAACAGGACTTATTGGCATCATCGGCCAACAGATATTCCCATTTCCCACAATGCTCAATATGGGGGGAATCCAATGGTATATACCATTTTTATGGAACATATTTAATTGCAGTTTACATGTTTCCATAATGTTAAATGTAGCCACAGAATATAGACCACAGAATATATCTCCAAGAGAATAGCTGCCAGATCTAGCTGTCATAATATTATGATAAAATTACCAGCCCTTCCCAGGAGTATTTCCTTAAAAAAAAAAAAAAAATCATTCTCTCATCCACCAATTAAAATAAAATTGATGTTCATTTAAATTTTTTTTTCTGGTATCAATTTTAAAAGGTCACATTAATTGAACCTGATGTTAAAAAAACTCCCTTTTAAACAGTTATATGATTTATACACCGATTTTCTAGTTATTTTTGAGGTCTAACCCTCACTGAGATGTAAATACAGGAAAGTTGCATCACTGGCTTATGTTAATGAATTTCCTTAAAACCAATTTATTACATCACATGTAATAATTCTTTAGGAAAGGACATGCAATGGACAGCTCAGAACAGTTTGACGGCATTATCTACAATAAACATTTTTGAAGTTCATTAAGCCACAAAAGATGGGCAAACAGATCAGCCTGAGGTAAGACTAAACCAACTTTTAAAGTGACTATAAAATCATTCCAGAATTGAAGCATTTTTAAAAGTCTTCCTTTAGGAAAAAATCAACTTGTCCTAGGAAGTACTGACATAGTATTAAAAGGATATTTAATATAACCATAAACATTTTAAATTGTGTTTAATAAAATATGAATCAAAAACACAAAAACAATAAGGTGGAACAAAGTACATTTTTAAAGATGTTAGTGGAATGATGGTAGAATGCTAAATTACAAAAATAAATTCCCCATCCTATCATGAATTGTTCCTATGTTGCTGTAGTCTTCATAATTACCATATTAATAACATTTTCTTTATAAAAGTAATATATGCCTTCATTATAGAAATGCTGGAACACATTACAAAAATAAAAATCATTCATATTACCATTCCCCAGAGACAAACTCTCAGCATTGTAATGTGCTTCCTGCTGGCCATTCTGTGGGTGTGTACAATAGGCAGTTTCTCTCCTCCTCCCCTAAACCAGGACCACACTGTATGTGCTATCTTGTTCTCATTTTATGATACTTCTTGAACATTTTTGGGAGTGGAGAATTACTGAAATGATTCATTAAGTGATCTTTTCTGCTTAAAACCAGATGGTACAGTCACCAGGTTTGGGAGAATTTGCCAAGAGAAAAACTGTCCTCGGGGCTTTGGATTTCTGCATTTCAGGTGAGGCAGATCTGAGACAGAAGCTTGTACCATTTAACTGGGATGCTGAAGACTGATATGTATGCCTTAATTCACCAGTGAAGGAGACAGAATTACAGAATCCTAAGAGTTCAAAACAACTTTCAGTGTCACCCACTCACACCTCTTGGTGGACTGCCTTCTTTCTTCAACCACAGCAGCCCTTCCCACATGTATACAGACCACCCCCGGCAAATGGTCGTAACACCTTCACTTGATACTTTCAGTGACTAGGAACTCACTGGTTCTCATGTTTCATGAGACAACCCCTTCCATTTTGCACTGTTCAGTTATGCTTTATATGCTGCTGAAATTGGCCTTCCTATAACTTTCATCTGCTGTTCGGCCCTCTGGATCAAGACAGAATGAACCAACTCCTTTTCTATAAACACCCTTTAAGACAACGTATTTCTTCCCTGAGACAGAGTACTTATTTCTTCAGGTAATTTGTTTTACAGGTTCTGTCATTCTGATCTACTGTATATGCTTTGGTTTTGCAAAGGTCTTTCCAGAAAAGATTTGTTACAACTGAACACATCTCCCAAGATGAAGGCACCTACTATGGAAGATAGAGTCTAAGATAACCCTATGATCTCTACCTCCTGGGGAGTGTGGGCAGGAACTGTGACTTGCTTCTAACCAACAGAATACAGAAAAGATGAAGGACTGTCGCTCCCATGATAACATTACATAAGGTTCTAACCCATCTTGCTAGGAGACTCTCCCTTGCTTGCTTTGAGGAAGCAAGTGGCATGTTTGGAAGGCCCACATGGCAAGACACTGAGGGCAGCCTCTAGTCAACATTGAGGAAGAAATTGAGGCCTTCAGTTTGATAATCCACAAATAACTGAATGCTGCCAACACAATGGGAGCTTAGAAGTGGATGCTTCCTCAGTTGAGTCTCAGATGAGACTATATCCCTGACTGACACCTTGATTGCTGCCTTGTGAGACCCTGAAGCAGAGGACCAGCTAAGCCATGCCCAGACTCCTGCCTGACCCACAGTGTCGTTTTAAGCCTCTAAGCTGTGGTAATATTGTTATACAGCGATAGATAACTAATTCATCCACTGGATCAACATACGCAAACATAGTACTCAGACTTCTTTGAAGAGGTTAATTTTAAAAAATAAGAATTTTCCCTCTGGATAAAATAATTCTACAAGCAAATGGTGGAAAGCCAGTTAGTAAGTCAAGTAGGAAACCTGTTTGCTGGCATTTGCAGATCATGTACTCCGATCTCTACCATGCAGGAAACCATTTACCTATTATAGTGAAAGAGATAGCCCTGGCAGGAGGAGGCAAGAAAAACACCTGAAGTAAAAACAAAACAAAAACTATGCTATTTCTCCTGTTGTACATGATTCTTAAGTTGTCTGCACAGAACCAAAAAATAATAAATAAAAACTTTCTATTGCTGGTAGGGAGGGGAACTATACTTCAACTTTCTAACTTCTCTTAATTTCCTGGAAGGCATTATAGGAATAACTTTTGTCAAGCGTATCTTCAAACTGAGATAGTATAAATTATTTTAAGATTCATATAACTTATAAACCAAATGAAAATCCTGTGTCAACCTTATAAATAAAGACAATATAGGAAAAAGGAGACAAAAAGCAAAAAACAACAAAATCTTTCACAAAACTAATGGCCCACGTGAACCACAGCCTCTTCTAGCCTGAGACCAAAAGAACTAAATGGTACCCTGCTACCACCACCAACTGTTCTGACCAGGGACAGAATTAGAAGGTCCCAGTTAGAATGGGAGAAAAATGTAAGAGCAAAACTCAAATTCATAAAAAAGACCAGACTTAGTGGATCGGTAGAGACTAGACTCATAGTGACCCTATAGGACAGAGTAGAACTGTCCCATAGGGTTTCCAACAAGTAGCTGGTGGACTCGAACTGCCAACCTTTTGGTTAGCAGTTGAACTCTTAACCACTGTGTCACCAGGGCTCCAGATACTAGAGGAATCCCTGAAACTATTGTCCAAATATGCTCTTAAAGCCTAGAACTGAAGCCATTCCTGGAGGTCACCTTTCAGCCAAATAATAGATTGGCCTATAAAATAAAAAATAACACCCATGAGGAATGTGTTCCTTCAATCAACTATCCAAGATCAAATGGTTAACATTTACCCAGAAGCAAAGATGAGAAGGCAAGGAGGGGCAAGGAAACTGGATGGATGGAAACGGGGCTGGCAGAATGGAAATGGCGAGAGTGCTGACACATTGCAGGGACTGTAAATAATGTCACAGAACAATTTGTGTATGAATTGTTGAATGGGAAAGTAATTTGCTGTGTAAACTTTCACCTAAAACACAATAAAATATTAAAAACAACAACAACAACAGAATCTGCTGTGCTCAATCAGGATGTGCTAAAAGCAAAAATTGAAGAAATGTTGAGTTTTTTTTTTTTTTTATCTTGCCTGGAATGAATTATCAATCATGTGGAACATGTAGGCAAAGGCAATTTTTTCCCCAGACTTGAGTATATGAAGATGCATGCCAATGACTCTTACAATATAGTTCCATCACTAGAGAAATTTTCATATTTCTAATAACTCAAGCCAATTCCCATAAGCCAGGCTGTAAACTTGAACTACTTTAAATAGCAATGTAAATAGAAAAATAATCAGATACCAGATTTCCCTGTGAGAAATCTAGGAATATTGAGAAATGGAGGATTATCTGAGGATAGGGCATATACTTTAGAAAAACAGTTTCCTTTTAATTTACTTTTCTCTGGGAACAATATGTATATCTCAGAGAGTCTTTTTAGGCATAAGAATTTGGGGTTGGCAGACAGAAGGGAGTAATATATATGAGCAGAGCAGATGGCTTTACTGGCCCCAGACAGAATGTCACTGTTTTGTAATTTGAATGTCCATGTCCTTGGTTCTATTATATTAACCAAATGGAATTTTAAATAAATTGTTAATCGAAAGGATGCAAATCCACAACCTCTTATAAAGAGAAGATGGAATTATTTTCTTACGTGTTGAAAATTTTTTTGCACTTCATATACTTTATGCTTAACTGGAAAGGCTATACACAGGAATGAATTCATGGACAGCTTTGGTTTTTATCCTTATTATTATTTCATTTATTCTCAGAGAAGAAAGAATGGTGCGTCTACCTAACAGAGTTTTATATCTCATTTAACTTTACTCTGTAATGAATTTAGGTTGAATAAAAAGCACTTGCTGCCTCTAATTCCCTCCCTGCCATTGCCCTTGATTACTTACATCTCTGTATCCATCTACCACATTTCCAGAAATGTCTCCTGCTATGTCTCTACAACCAGCTGGGCAGAATTTGCTGGGAAAAGAAAATAAAGAATTTACATTTTATTAAATTATACTTAAATAAGTATCAAATCATACTTAAATAAAAATGATTTTTTTATCCTCCATAGAACATGTTAGCATACCTTGCCTTAATGACAAATGAGAAACCTGATTGCGAAAAAACAGATTGGTCTAAAATGATATTCTGAAGGCAAGTGTTACACAATTATTATTTGTTTTATATAACAGTTCACCATAAGACTCCATTAAACAATGAACTTCCCTAATGCATTTTAATTGATTCTAAGATGTTCAAGCAATAAAATAAAAAAATTTAAGAAAAAAATTTTTAAGAAATAAAAAAGCATTCTAAACAATATATCTAGCATAATCTCATTTTCATAAAAAGAAATATTTAAAAAATATAAAATGACAATAAATGTTTTCTATGGATAAAAAAGGAAACAAGGAAACACATCCTTGTTCCTCACTTTCTGTGTTCTGTAACTTTGTAATATCTGGTTTCTCTATACTAGCACTGTCCAGCAGAAATATAATTGAGGGTCACATATGTAATTTTAAACATTCTGTAGTCATATTTAAAAAAAAATAGGTAAAGTTAGTATTACTAGTATATTTTATTTAGCCCAATATATCCAAATTTCATAATTTCATATGTAATGAAGAGAAAAAAATGAGCAATGAGATATTTTACATTCTTTTTTTCATACTAAGTCTTTAAAATCTGGAGTGTAATTTACAACAGTAGCACATCTCAATTTGGACTAGTCACAGTTCAAGGACTTAATAGTCACATGTGGCTTGTGGCGAGCACTGGACAGTGAAGCTCTAATATTAATTATGAATTATCCCTGCAATCAGAAAAAAAAGTATATTTTAATTAAGATTCCACTTACTTAACAGTAGTTTTTCAAGTAACTTTGCAGAAACATGTCACAGCATATGGTGTGGTTGAAGAGGCTCAGTACTGAGGGCCAGGTGATCCAGGCTATGGCACTAACTAGCTGGCTGTGTGACCCTGACTAGCACATATAATTCCTTTTAGATTGTTTTCTCATCTGTAGTTCCTTCAGGTATCAACATATTAATAGAATATGAGGGATAGCTCTATGTCTATGAACCTGTAACCCAATCCCTTCGAGTTGATTCTGACTCATTGTGACCCTACAGGACAGCATAGAACTGTCCCACAGGGTTTCTAAGCAGTGGCTGGTGGACTTGAATTGCCGATCTTTTGGTTAGCGGCCGAGCTCTTAACCACTGTGCCACCAGGGCTCTTATGTCTATGAAAAACATGCAAAAAGAAAGCCAAAGTATCTCAAGAACATTGACAGCTTTGAAGATGAATGTCATCTGCACTTTTTTTCTATATACAGGTATGTGCCGCAAAATGTCCATTTGGCAACATCTGACCACATGTATTTCTGTGGTCCCATAAGATAATAATAGTTCAGAAATGCCAATCAGAGAACAGGACATAGTGGACTCACTTTGCTAAGTACTGTATATCCTACCTGTCTCTCACTAGCTCTTGAGGTCCTGCATCAGCCCTGGCGCTGGGGTGGCAGTGGGGGGGAAGGGGGGGGTGCGTGGCAGCGCCCATCCATGGCTGCCTGTCTCCACTGTGCTCACCCCAGGCAAGCACTGTGCAGACGCTGCCAGAACCACCAAGGGGGATGCTCCGCGAGGCTGCTGCCCCATTCAGTCATGGCACCTTGCATGTGATGCGCTGGCCTGAGACTGTGGCTCCTCCCGTGGTGGTGGCAGCCGCCAAATGGTCTGGGCTGTGGTGGGAGGAGGAGCAGGAAAGTCAGCTGGAGTAAGAGGTGAGGGCGGAGGAGGGGCAGGCAGGGCTGGAAGAGTTTAAAGCCCTTTGTGGGGGCTGCGGAAGACAGGGAGGGAGAAAGGAAGGGAAGGGAGCCGATGGCGTGCCCGGAGGCAACTGGCTGGGTAGTGAGTGCGTGCTGTGGTGGGGACTGGGCACAGCTCTTGGCTCTAGGAGACCAGGTGGTGACCATACAGGAATGGTGGCAGCGGAGCCAAAGTTTTCACACAGTCCCTAGGTACAGCGGTGGCAGTGCTGGTTCCAAGCCCACCCAGGGACCATCCTGCGCACCTCTCTCCTGTATATAATATGGTGTTCACACAACGTCCAAATCACATAACACTATTTCACAGAACATATCGTGTATGCACACATACCTGTATACAACTTTACAACAATGTTAACCTACTTGGTTTGTCTAAACAGAATGTACTGGCCCAGACTCCAAAATAGCAATTGCTTTTATTTTATCTCTTGCTGACTTAGCATATTATATGTATAACACCACCTAATTATTGAAATTAGCCAAATAAATATTTCCTAATTCTTTCCCACTGACCTTATAGAGAGGAGTTCCAGAGAAGTTTCCAGCATTACAGCAGTAATCAAGGAGTTAAGAAATAAAAATAGCAGGGAGTCCTACTACAGGTTTACAATTTCATTTGTTAACCTTTGGAGCTAGATGTGTTTCAGAATTCAGAATTATTTTGGGTTTTAGAAAAGTAAAAGAGTTTCAATGATGTATATAATGTAACACTCTGGTGTGGTCTGTATCCATGAATCAAAAACATTAATGCCTCTGTATCAAAATGCATGAATATATTTTGTATGAAGTCATTTTGAATTTCAAAAACCTTTTTGTTTTCAAAGTTTTGGAATTATGGATATGGGACTGTGGATCTACACTAGTCACCAGCCTCATCTTTAAATACCACAAAATGGCTGGGCTACAGCTTAGATGATTTGACACCATAAATTCTCCTTGTAGGGCTGAGTGTATTCCTTTAAGAGAGCAGGAAATGACCACTGACTCCCAGAGATGCTATCATCACTGGGACTGTTTAAGTATGACTGGGAAGACCTCAGAGAATGTTGGTGAATGTCTACATTGGATGAACAGCAACTTTAGAAGGCAACATTTAATTATTGCTCCTTCTCATTTTTATTTTTTCTCTACTAGACTTAATATTAGCTAACACTAGAGTTCACCCTACATATAAAATAATCCCATTTATTAGAGTGCCCAAATGTATGATTTGGTTAGTTCCTGGGTAGCACAGTTAAGCGCTCAAATACTAACCAAAAGGTTGGTGGTTCGAGTCTACCCAGAGGCGCCTCAGAAGATAGGTCTGGCAATCTGTTTCCGAACGGTCACAGCCTTGAAAACCCTATGGAGCAGTTCTACTCTGCACACATGGGGTCACCATGAGTTGGAATCAACTCAACGGCCAGTAATAACAACCACATGGGCTCTTCAGCCTGACACCCTAGGTTGTATAGCCTAATCGCTTGTGCCTTGGTTTGCTGGGTATAACAAAAGCTACCTTTTAGGAATGTTGGGATGTTCACATGAGCTATTTATGTGCAAAGTACATAGAGTTGTGCCTGGTTCTTAGAAAGCATTGTAAAGAATTACAGTTGGTGTTGTTGTTGACAGTTATTTCCAGACCAATAATGGTTCTCAACTGGAGGCAATTTTGCCTGTCAGGAGACATTCAGCAATGGGCAACGTCTGTAGACATTTTTGTTTGTCACAACTGACATCTAAAGGGTAGATGCAAGATATGCTGCTAAACATTCAACAATGCACAGGACAGCCCCCCACCCCGACACACACAACAAAAATTATTCAACCCAAAATGTTAATAGTACCAAAGTTGATAAACCCTGCTCTATGACTAACTACCCTACCATATAAACCCCAAACCAAACCCATTGCCATCAAGTCAATTCCAACTCATAGTGACCCTATAGCACAGAGCAGAACTGCCCCATAGTGTTTCCAAGGCTGTAATCTTTACAGAAGCAGACTGCCACATCTTTCTCCCATGGCGCGGCTGGTGGGTTTGAACTGCTGACCTTTCAGTTAGCAGCTGAGAGTTTAACTACTGTGCCACCAGGGCTCCTTCTACCATACTATACAGATGAGGAAATGTACAACAAAGAGGTTAAGTAATGTTTCCAGTTAAAGCTGGGATGAGAAATTTCACCTCCTTATTCTCAGTAGGTTTCCTCTTTGTGGGAAAGAAAAGATGAACCTTCTCCCAGATGAAAGAATTACAAAGGTCAGTACAAATGCTGGCCAGGTGAAAAAAGAGCATTCTAGATTATAGATTATAGCACATTGTACTATAGTGGCACTCAGCGGTTGTTGGCAAACTATGGACTGAAGGCCAAATCCAGCCATCCACTTTTTTTTTGTAAATAAAGTTTAATTGGAACATAGCCACACTCATTTGTTTATGTATTGTCTGTAGCTGCTTTTGCCCCATGATGGTAGAGTTGAATTGTTGCAACAGAGACTGTGTGGTCGGCAAAACCTAAAATATTTACTATTTAAAGCTTCACAGAAAAAAAGTTTGCCAACTCCTCCTCTGGAAGATACCATTTCAATTATTATTCTTTATTCAAAACATGACTAATATATATATGTGTGTGTGTGTGTTGTGTGTACGTATAAGGTACTTTAACTGGTTAATGTCAAGGAAAACAAAATGTTCAGTAACATATGAGTGCATCACAGCTGAGGACAACTATAGTTACCTGTATTCTGTCTTCAAATAATGGTTAGCTCGTTCCAAACATGTTATTAAATCTGTCATAAATAAAGATAATTGCAATTAGCAGACTGAATGGAAATTAGGAAACTCATGCACTAAATGTTTCTTTTTAAATAAAAAAAGGACAATTTTTTTAAAAAAGCATTCATTCAGGGCCTAGTTAACTGAATCTTTCTGTTTAAAAATAAATCAAAACTGAGAACAATGTCACCAGTATTTAATCATTTCTTCATCTCTCTTTTCTATCACCAATGATGGTGTTTCAGTGGTAGTCCAGTGAATAATAACAGAATTTCCTACAGAAAAGGCAACACTGGTTAGTTATTATCTGCTACAAGCCTACAACAGTTGTGCGTATAACCTTCTCTGGCAGGAGGAAAACATTTCAAAAGCCAAATGTGATTCCTAGAGAAGGTTCCAGAAACATTTTAATTTAACAGTTTAGCCAGTGGCATCTGAGTCGCCACAGAACCAGGTGTTTACCGAGACCACCAACAGCACATTGGCTTTGATCAATCAGGTCCAGGTAATTAAAAAGAGGGTGCTCAGTTTATTCATCTCTAATTTACAGAACTGAACCAATACTCAGCAATGGGGAAGCTAAGATTCTGTGGGTCTCTATGCATTTAGGTCAATGTAGGATAGTTTCTAAAATATTCCACACTTATTGCAATAGTTGTTTCTTTCCTTCCGCTTTTCAGCAGTTGTTAGGGAGCAATGTATGGTGAACACTGGCCATACTGGGCCTATTGGAAATACTCAGATCAGATGGGCTACAAGGGAACTGAATGGTTTGTCCCTCCCCAGGGTATTTCTGCCATAAGACACTGAGAGCAGAAACCCTGGGTACCTCTCTTCCCAGTGACTCTAAACAAACATGGAGTGTACTACAGTAATAACAATGGGGTACAACAAGCCTGGACAGAAGTCCACACTTTTCTCTTTCATCAGCTTTCATGCTCCCTTCTCCCCTGCTCAAGTTTCAGCTCCACCATCCTTAGGGCACTGTTGTCTTTTTCGTCCTTCTAATACTGCATGTGCTTCCCAGGTGGGTAGAGGGTGTCATAGTTAAAAGACCTGGCCCTCTGAGGTGAGAAAGGGAGCAGAGGAGAGCTCCAGAGAATTACCAAGCTTCAAAAGGGTCAAGAGGGCTGCCCCAAAATGTACTATCCAAGGTTCCTCAGAAAAAGAGATCATCCCTATCACACGTAGGTCAGTTGATCAATCTAAGACATACTATAAAATTATTCACTTCAGATCTATCTACTTACAATGATGTTGCATTCCTCTCTTCCCTCACATCTTAATTCTGTATCTGAGGTCACAAATCTGTCCAGAGATGATGATAAGTAGCAAGAGGAATTCTTAAGACAGATAAAGATTTACAGATTTGTGCTGATTCTTCTGCTATACCTGGATGATCGCTGCTGGCATAGGTCAGCAAAAAACCCCTCCCAGAAATGTGGGATCCACTCTGAAAGCGAATAGTGACTTCACTTGTGTTCAGCGAGAGTTCTTTGGGAACGGTCATACTTCCACAATACGGACCTAAAAACAAAGCACACTTGTGGCATATTTCAGAATTTAGACCAGCAAAAAGAATTGGACTATAACACATTCTTTTCCTTACAGGTGAAATTTACCAGAAAACCGTATGTAAGATTCTAATCTACCCAACTGATATTTTGTTTAACACCGAGACTGATAATTAGTGACTGGTGTGAACTTGGTTATACTGATAAGGCTAGGGAGAAAACTGGCTTAACTGACTATATACATGAGCTTACTCTAGATAAGAAGTAAGCTGCAACTAGTTAATTGTGAACAAGCCAAAAGATAGGTTATGCTTTTAACAAAAAGAAGACTATCAAACAAAGGTCAAATACATTAGGTGATATAAGAAAATTTTATCACAAAAATGATATTCTGCAGCCTTCTTAAATTTGCTAAAAAACTCACAAATTTCCTTTTTTCAAAGAGGTTCCAGAATTCAAAGTAACAACTGTCCAATGCATGGTAAATATCTTATTCTTATGCAGTGTACACATTTATCTCTCTCTGACAGTAACTTCTGGTTAACATATATAACTTATTTTGATTTGTAAAATAAGGTTTATACAAAAGCAGAATAATTTCTAAAGGCATTTGTAATATAAATTATGGAATTAACATTATAACATTTCTAGAATAAATTTCTTGAGAAGCAACAGGAAGCTCAATGAACTTTTAAAAGACAAAATTAGATTTGGAGGTAAAAATAATCCAACCTTCCCTATCCTATTCAAGTTAAAGTTTAGCTTATAAATTGTCATTTTGAAAATCACATATGCAAAACATAATCTCCTAAAATGGTTAAAATTTCAAATGTTTTGTTACCTATATTTTACCACGGTAAAACTTAATATAATAATAATAATCTCTATGAAAATAGGAATTAATGGCCAAATTTTGATAAGACTTATTCTTCATCAACTTCTCCCAAGATGAACCAGTGTGGAAATAGTCAACGGCAACAACAATAATAACAATCAGGTCAAGGAAAGTGGAGGCAGGGAAACAATCAAACTGGGACACAGCAGAAAGGCCAACTCAATATGAATAAAACTGGGTTCTACTAACCAAAACCAAAATAAGGCCCAAACTGAATAAAGATTCAGGAAAAGATCATAAACCCAACAAAGCATTTCTCTCCTGGTATAAAGGGTCAGGTTTCTCTTCAGTCCTGATTTCACATTCTGAAGATGTGACAGGCTGAGAGAGAAGAACTGGGTACTTAGCTTCACACGCCAAATCACTTTTCTCTGTTGTCCCCTATTATTAACATATAGTGAAATTTAAATAAAAAATGATCAATTACCTCTCTAGATATACACTCAACACATATAATTACTTAAATGAGTTAATACTTATAAATTATAGGCACTCCCTGGGTTACAAATGAGATTCATTCCTAAGTCTGTCTTTAAGTCGAATTCGTAGGTAAATTGGAACAGATACATAGGGTTCTCATTTAGCATCAGTTAATCAAATGTTTGTCTTAGTATATATGTATCTATTTTACCATTCTATGCATATAAAACACTTAAGAAACACTTCAAACCATGCGATGTTTTCATGAGCGTCACAAAGTAGTGCATATGTTTATTATCATGAACTATTGTATTTAACTCAAATTTTAAATATACTAGCCTTTATGGCAGTCTGTTTTTAAGTATGAGTTGTTTGTAAGTCAGACGTTCATAACCCGGGTACTGCCTATACTTAGAATAGTACCTAGAACATAGTGAGAAATGTATGGGTACTTATTAAATAGAATGACTGAATAAATTAAAAAATAAATAAATGTTTTATGCCCCCTTTAGACTATGTTCCATGGGGCCAGGGACTTTTTCTATCCATCTTTTTTCTTCCCCCACCAGCTTGTATAGCACCTGGCACATGGCAGCCCCCCAAATAGTTTTTGACTTGAAATTAATTTCAATATTCTTCTATTTATAATAGTCAATTTTTAAAAGCCAAACTATTATGAAGGCACATAAAATATTTTTAATTCTGTCATTCTGAAACATCATAGAGAAGTCAGGAAAAGAAGGGTGGAGATACCAGAAAAGGAAGAAAAGTATTAGTGTAATGGATATGTGTATTTCTATGATCGTTAATAGTGCTCACAAGTGTGGTAGCTGGATGCTTTCTACTAAACCCATTTTTATATAGTGAAGTAAAAGGATAAGCATTTTTGCAAAATTAACGTGAGTCAGATTACTGTGTTTACTTTTACACTAACCTATAATTTATCTGGTTTACATATGCTTAAAATTCGTTTTTTCTTTGCACAGATAAAACAGGTGAAGGTACTTGCTTTGCAAACTTATGAATAAAAATGAAATGATCAGTAAGTTGTTGCTACTAATAAATTAGAATATTTTTCTACCTACATTTATTTTTTTTTCAGGAGGAAAGATAATAACATACCTACTCTTCTCCAAATCGGGGTGATGATACTAATCTCTACTTAAATTTCTATAGCATTTCACTGATTTCTAATAAAAACTGTAAGGTAAATTGATTATCAGGAAGAATTTATTTGGTCTTTTTTTTTTATGAAACAGTTGAAAGAAGAGGTTGCAAAAATCATACACCTTTTACACAAATAGGTAAAAGTGTATGCCACCACCCTAAGCTGTTGAGCAACATACATGATTTCCTAAATCAAAAACACATTAATACAATAAAACTCTAATTTGGTTCCATCCTTTCCAAATCATGACAGGCATGTAAATATTTCTGGAAGGAGTTCAAAGAAAGAAAACGTAAATGCACAATCCTTTAATCAACCCTTACCCCACAGGCACCAGTCTCTCTCACATTCTTATTAACATGCCGTAAAAATGTAACTAAATCCTAGAGGGGACAGAATATCCCTCTCTATATAAACGTCATCATTAAAAGTTCTTTTGATAGAGTCACAACAATCATAACTAAAACAATGGCAGTGGAGGGTTTTAGTTTGGGGTGGGGGATAGGAGTTGAGTACTGGTTGCAGTATTGTCTATGGCAAAGCACCCAAATTACTGCCTGTCTGAAGGTCTGACAGATAAAGATTCCTGTTCATAGTCTGGAAGTTAATAAGTACATTCCTAGAGTTAAAAGGGAAAAGATGAAAATACAAAAATGTGACTGGCAGTGAGAGGGAAAAATAATTAATGGGAAACCACCGAAAAAACCCTTTTAGTCTACACTAAGCAATTTCTCAGTTCTCAGCCAGACTCCTTTCAGGAGGACATCTTCCCTTATGAAAGCCATTTTCCCCCCACCCCTGCACAAAACATGTATTTCACTGTTAGTAACCTCCATCTCAACTTTTTTAAAAAAGTCTAGACTGGGGTTTAATTCCCACCTCATGCGCAGCCATCACCCATCTGTCAGTAGAGGCTTGTATATTGCTATGATGCCGCACAGGTTTCAGCGGAGCTTCCAGACTAGGACAGACTAGGAAAAAAGTCCTGGTGATCTACTTCTGAATATCTTTCAATGAAAACCCCACGGATCACAATGATCCCACCTGCAATTGATCATGGGGATGATACAGGACTGTGCAGTGTTTCATGCCATTGTGCATGGGGTTGCCATAAGTTGGGGGCTACTCAAAGGGAGCGAACAACACGACTTGTATTTAAATGTTTACAAAGACAATTTCATTGGAAACCCTAATGAGAGCCCAGTTACTTCTAACTCTAACCACAGCAATGTTTCCGAATTGATAAACCTGCTTCAATTCAGAGACTGAACCTAGCCAACCCTTCCTGGGTGGTTCCAAAGAACTTCAGCAGATCTGAAAATAGGACTCCAAGTTGTGTATGGATGTTTGCTTTACAACTGGTAATGCTGCTTGTTTTATAGCACTTGGACCTGCTAACTTCCCACCTTCCCTCATTTCTGTCTTGTTTGAGAGGAAGGTTCTCACTTTGTAGTTGTAAATTCCTGTCAGACGGGGCACAGCAGAAAGACAGTTAATCAAGTAGGCAGAAAAATCAGGAAAAATAAACACCTTACCTCTTGTGGAATATAATTGGCATTCCCTGAAGTGTGGGAAAAGCTATCAGTGATACCAAATGGAACAGCATTGTGGCATTTGGCATGGGACATGTGATCAAGACCCAGCAGATAATGGGCTGATTCCTTGGCAAAGGGAATAAAGAGCCAGGAACCCTAACAGCTGCCTTCTTGGAGCAGAGTAGGCCAGATTTTCTCAGCACATCCCCTGTTGGCCGCTACTGTTCCGTTAACAGCTGAAAAGGAAACCTTTATCTTTCCACGTGTGAATAAAAGAAAACTGTCCTACAAAGTAGAATGAACTATCTGCCCTGAGCTGAGCCCAGAATCCTCTTAATTCTCCGGCAACCTGACAAATCTGGGCAGGAACTTATAGCACTTCTTTGGAATATCTGCTAAGACTGTGGGCATTAACCTGTTGTCATCGAGACGATTCTGACTCATAGCGACCCTATAGGACAGAGTAGAACTGCCCCACAGGATTTCCAGGGAGCGGCTGGTGGATTCGAACTGCCAACCTTTTGGTTAGCAGCTGAGCTCTTAACCACTATGCCACCAAGTCTCCCTTTGGGCATTAGAAGGTAATAAATAGCTTGGTTAAAAACTATTCCAATTCATTTGAGGTGGGTATATGGTTTTGATCTTAAAACTGATAAAACTAAGTTATTGTTACAGTTGTGAAAGGGCTGTGTTTTTAAAAATGGTATGTACGTTGTTAAAAAAAAAAAAAAAAACCTCACCCTGCATAACCACTCTCTTAGTGGTGAAAAACACAGAGAAACCAAATAAAAAAATTAAAAACCTGTTGCTGTCGATTCCGACTCATAGTGACCCTATAGGACAGAGTAGGGCTGCTCCATTGGGTTTCCAAGGAGCAGCTGGTGGATTTGAACTGCCAACCTTTTGGTTAGC